ACACACACACACACACACATACACATACACATACACATACACATACACATACACACACACACATACCATGTATACATCACTTCAGGGGACATTACATTGACTTATATGCATTTCCTGGAGACTTATCCTAACCTTAACCATAACTAGGGCCGGCCCTCGGTATTAGCAGTATAGGCGAATGCTAAGGGCACATCAACCCATAGGGGGCGCCGAAAATTGGGGGGAAAAAAAAGGTAGAAATTTAAAAAAAATATATTTTTAAATTTCATAACACAATTTCCCGATTTTGGATCAACAAAGTACATATTATTATCTTATACTAACAGAACTACGCATATATTGCATACAGCGCCCATAAACTATGGCACACCCCCCCCAAAAAAATCTAATTGAACTACCCCAGCCCCAGTAAAAACCAGAAGTTTATGTGAAATTGTTCTTTTATTGAAATAATGGTTTTAGTGTGCAATTATAGGTTTTAATTTTTTATTTGTGTTAATTTAAAATAAATCAAACTCCCAAAAAACATATACAGCTTCTGTGTGCTGTTATTAACATTGGAATTTACTGTGTAAGGGTCCTCGGGGGGGAGAGCTTTAGAGAACTCTCTCCTGAAAGACTGAGCGGCTCTGATAACCTCAGCTCAGTGAAGTAAAGGCACACCTTTATATGATCATTATAGCTATAAAAAAATAAGTATAAAATACTATATGACAGTAAAAAAAAGTTGTTATTAATAAACAAGAATACAGTTTGAAAGGGGAGTGATTTGTAAAATATCCATAAAGAAAAATAAAATCTGCTTGCATTTCTGTTTCATATGGGTGTTGAGAGATGTATCCATAGATCTCCTAATGTTGCTCTCAAAGTGCACCAGATTGATGCTTTTAACTTCAATATTAAAAAAAAAGTCTTCCCGGGGGTGCATGCCCCTGGACCCCCCTAGAGGAGGTGAGGTCCCCCCATCACTTAAATCATGTTCAAATGGATAGGATACTAAATAGAGCTGCACACATCTTGTGTCCATATCTTTCTGTTTTCTCATGCCACAACCGTGCATGTGCGAGTCATAGTGAGTGTCTGCATTTTTTTGGGGGGGGGGCGTCAGCTAAAATCTTGCCTAGCAGAGGATGATAAACCTGTAGTCCAAAATGCTAAGTGTTGACATTAACAGAAGGTAGGAAAGGTAGGAAGGACAGCACATCTTATGATCTTTGTTTCTGTACTCAGTGGTGTTGTGCAGATGTTCAAATGATGAAGCAGCCTCTGCGGCCTCTGAGGCCACAGTATACTGGATGACAACCAATCCCTTTAATGTTTATTTGGTTCCCTCAGGGGCCACCACATGTCCATAACATGAAAAGACCCACTTCACTCTGCTAGATATTTTTAAATTCTTCCTAACTTTAAAGTTTTCACACTCGGTCAATACTGCTTTTTTAAGCATGACTAAATTTAGACCCATCATGCGGGGCTGAAAAACACGAACAGGGATAATACTGTGCAGAGTTGAGCCTTCTCGTGTTGTTTTAACCATGAAGGTCAATAAACGTATGCACATGTTCAACTGAGTGCGCCACTTGGAATTTCTGGAAGAATGCCACCAGCACAGGCTATCAATAGCATGCTTGGCATACTTCTGTGCTATCAGACCATGGTATGGGCATAACGTCTGGACCTAACCCCGTCCAGTGGGACCGCTGTCAAAGAGCGGGGGGAAACATGAGCAAGAGAGGTAGGGTTTATCTTACAGTAGCCCCAACACTGCTGTTCATGAGGAGCAGAGACCTGGAGGGAAAGGCACCCCACAGTGGAATGCAGTACAGGTGTTTTTCTGTGTTCGGAGACATTTAATGCCATTTTAACGAGGGCTTCATTCAGTACACCGAGGAGCTCCAGCCACTCTAAAGAATGCCTCTTTTCTTTGCCTGTTATCTGTGTGTGTGTGTGTGTGTGTGTGTGTGTGTGTGTGTGTGTGTGTGTGTGTGTGTGTGTGTGTGTGTGTGTGTGTGTGTGTGTGTGTGTGTGTGTGTGTGGAGCTCAGTTCGACTTTTGGGCTGATGTGTCTTTCAGCCTGGCATTCAGACACTGCGGAGAAGGTTGTCCTAATCTATTGTGGGGGTTTCTGCCCCACTGTGAATAATGCACAGACATTGCTGGTGGTGGCCCAAAAACTTGTTGTGTTTGTGTGTATGTGAAGAAACTTGTTGGGGTGGAAAGCTTCTGAAAATATACCAAAGTGACACTGCATTCCTTGTAGGAATCAAATCTAAGACTGCTCTCACACGGTAAAACTGTGGATTTGAGCATAGCTGGGAAAAAAGTGTATTGAAAAAGTGTAAATTTGAACTGGGAAGACATTGTTACCATACAGTACATGCTGTGTGTGGACTGGGGGCACTTTGTTTCCTTCTCTGTTTTTCTCATGTGTATTTGTCTAAGGAAAACATGCTATTTTGCTTAAAGAAACCAGGGGAAAAGGAGAATAAGGCAGGGTAATATGCAAGGAATTCCTGGGTCTTGCTCACCTTTACAAATAGCACTGATCCCCGTCCAGGTGCCGTTATCCCGGCAGGCCCGCGTAGCAGAGCCAACAAGACGGTATCCCTGGGAACAAGTGAAGTGGACCTCATGTCCGACAAAGTACTTTGAGCCGAACTTTGTTCCGTGAGCAGGGGCTTCCAGAGAGGGGCAGGTGGTTGGAGCTGTGGGAGAGAGAAAGAGAGCACAAGAGGAAGGCCGGTCACATGTGGAGTAAGCTTCCCGAACATCCTCTGGCATTCCCTGCCTGGGGATATACACGTGTCGCTGGGCACTTCACAGCCTTCATGGGAGAGGACGATTAAAATGCCTCATTCAGAGTCCACCAGCACAGCAACGGCCATTTTTATGAGTCAGAATTTCACCAGCAGCCAAATGTTATGCTATTTTGCATGCTCTGGAAAATGTAAGGCTTGTATAATATGGAACATAAGTACATTACGTAACATTGTAGGATTTATGCTTTATCCCAATGTATGTTTCCTATTCCTTTAACCTCAAGAGAAAACAACTGTCAGTAAAGTTTAGAAACTGTGTAATAGGCCAATCTTGCATGGCCAAACCTCCATTATGTCCAGCTTGTGTTTGCAGGGGGATGTAAGCCCCTTGTGTATTTTCCTGACAAATCTGTGTGTTAAGGTTTGAGCATTTTGTCACAGCTGTATAAGATAAATGTGTGAGATACGTCTTTGATATATATTGTATATAAGGAAAAAATATGCAGTGGAAAAAAGGCTCACAACAAATGTTGACAAGTACTGAATTAAGAAGGGGAAGGCTGCCAAAACGTTATTTGTACCACATCGTAATCAAATTTAGAGTTTCAGAGATTAATCTTTAAAGTACATTTTCCTAAATAATGGCAGGAAAAAGGGTAATTCTCTTTCCTCTGTAGTGAAGGATATTAAAATATGTTTGGGTTTTGGACTGAAAGCACAAGACATTGAAAGCCATCATCTTGGAATTTGAGGAACAGGGACTAACATTTTTCACTGTTTTCTGCGATTTCCAAAAAGATTTATCAGGGAAAAACAATCTGCAGATTACTCAATAACAAAAAAATATGTGCACGTTTCAGCCTTATTAGAATCAATATTATTTTACCGATTCCTATTTGTAACTTTATCTCAATGAAAAATGTATTTAATTTAAATGAGGATTTGGGATTCTATTCCTGATCAGAGCAAATAAAATGGATAGTGCCATATTTTCTCATGTGTCTTTTTATTTTGTTGAGCCTTTATTAGTGTAAATGTAAAAATATCAGCTTCCTCCTGTCTGGCCAAGTACTCTCCAGAGTTATGGACTGAACTGGTCCATCACTAACAAATTGGCCTCAGTGTCTGCTGCCAAACAACACAATTCCACAAATCCACTTCCCCTGTCAAGTGCCCAAAAATATGTAACTGAGATGACCTTGCACTGTTGGATGAATATATAATCCCATAAGAAGCCATGTTAACTTCAAACGATTTAATGTTCCCATAATGTTTTAAATGTGATACATATAAATCTTCTGTTGCCTTTGAGTGAGTAATCAATCACTGAATTACTGAACAAAACCTCAGTCATAATGCATGTGAAACTTTATACAGCATTGATTGCAAATGAAATGAAATGAATGCTCGATCAGTGAACTCTGTCTGAGAAGATAAATTCATAACATATTCAGTAAAAGGACCAAGTACTTAACTTCCAAACAATCTTGTTGTATGCCTATCACCAGATATTGTGATTTTACAGCATATGCATTAGGAATGTGTTTTAATTATGTCTTACCAAATAAATGTCGTACAGTAACTAACCATAAAGTTATATCCGAATGGCATTGTTTACATACCAAATACCTCAAATAAATCAAAGTATTCCTGCCTGAACATATTCCAAAAAAAATGTAAGAAGTTAGCATATCCCATATTTCCAAGTCAAGGAGGACAAAACACTCACATTTCACTTATTTATTTGGCGATCATCACTATGTGAAATGAACTTGGAAATCTGGTATGTTTTCAAAATGTTTGAAATGTTATTATTAGATTTTGGGTTGAGCACTCCATAGAGAACACCATGATTGAAGGGCATCCTCCTTTTCCAACACACATTTCTCAAATTATTATTTGTTATGTCAAACAAGCAGAATGGTAAATTATATGTAAAAAGATACAGCTAGTCATCAAGCATTCTTTTTTTATTTCTGTGAATACAAAAACACTCATTATTTGTATTGATTTAACTAAGCAATATGAAAAATGTTCAAGAATGATATATTTAACTATTTCTACCTTTTTACCTTATTGTAAAATGGCGGATCTAACAGATTGAAATCATCTGTTTTATGTACAGTGTTTTTTACTTTCAATGGGAAATTATGGCTTGATGTTTAGCTGCTTCAGTGTAATGGTTGTGCATGCATCCTACTTTGAGAAGTCAAACTATCTGCTTAGAAAAAAGCCTTCAAAGATAAAAAATGATGATGATTATGATAACTAGGGTGATTAGGGTAGTGTTGTTCTCACCGGCTGTCTGGTCCGCTTGAGGTAACTTGGAGACCGAGTTCTGAAGTGTCGCCAGCTTTGACTTCATGATCCTGAGGCCCTCGGTGAATCTCATCTCCTGGCCTTTCAGAAACTTCTCCATCTGACGGAGCACCCCGACCACCTGGTGCTTATCCATGCACGTCTGCGGACAAAGAATGAGCACTATGACCAAGTTATTTTAAAAATACTATATTAACAAAACATTTCAAAATGCAATGACTTTCTAACAACATAAAGTGCATGAATAAAGGTCCCAAAGGTCCCATCAGTTTAATGATTATAGAATATAAAACATGATATATGGATGAACATTAATGTGCAGCTGTCGAGTATGATGCAATTGAAATCCACCGTATCAGTGTACACAAGGTGGTTAGGGTTACAAAGAGTTTACATTGATATTAAAATGCATAACACATTTATTTTACCAGGGATTCTTTTACAAAAAACTACATTTGCACTCCACTTTTTTTCCACTAAACCTAATGGCACTCACATGTGAGATAATCTAAACTCACCATCTCTCTTCTGCTCTCCCTCAGCCCTTTCCACTTGCTATCACAACTGTAGTGGCAGACACAGCTGGACCAAAGCTGTCTGGCAGATGTCAGTGGGACTTAAGTCCAAAATGCTATTCCTCTGTATATTTTGAATGGTGGGAAGGCACATGTTCATTGGATAATGTTGAATGGGCAGACTCAAAATAGCATTGGTGCCATTAGCAGTTACTTGAGTGAGAAAGCTTGTCAAGCCATTACACAGTTCCTCAGAGAAAGTGCCTCTAATCCTTTCAGGAGGGTTTATTAATCACATGCTCATTGGAACAATTTCTCTGAGCAGCATACCTTAAATTCCTGCACCGGTAATTGGAGGACCATCGACAATAACAACTTCATTACATTACAATTCAGTTTGCACAGCGGTTGAACCTGTGCAGAAAAGACAAGGCTTTGTCTTTTTACCTGCCTCAGGCAAAAAGGGAAATGCCCCCAGCTGACAGGACATGAGAGAACTCACATCTGGATACTACAAAGGAAGTTTTTTGGAAAAGCAGATCCAGTAATTTCTCCAATGGAACACATGTGACCAACATTGCAAATCTTAAAATCTCGCATAATCACAATAACAGCTGGATAAAGTGTAGGACAGTACAACACACGCAGAAAATGGTGGTTGGTGTCACTTGTTATAGATTAATAGGATTAAGATATTAAGGTGATCCTCAAATAAATATTTCCCAAATGTTGTTACCTCATATTTTAAGATTTGATAACATGCTTTATTGAGCAAGTCTGACCTGACGACAGATCTTCTTGGACAAAGAGTTGTCACTAAAGTAACTCTTACCTGAACGGAAGCATGGCCACCCTGGATAGCTGTCAAACACAGCAAAAGCAAACACCTGCGTCGAAAAGAGAGTGCCATCTCTGAAAGTCCAGTTTATTACTGTAGCCTACTTTTATAAAAGTAATACTCCTTTGCTGGTGTTTTCCAAACTTGATAGAGCTTCGATAAAACCCCCCAAACAGTGATCTCTCGGAAGGTTCTGTCCCCGACTGCTTTCCAGAGTTTGGGGGATGCTCATCAGGTGTCTGACACAGAGATGCGCTCCCTTCTCTTTATCTGCGCTCTGGAACAGTTCAGCCTCTGAGCTCTGCACGCCTGCAGAAGGAATCCCTCCCACCGAGATACTCCCAAACATTGTGCGATTTTCTCCTTACATCTCTCTGTTGCTGTCAATGACACTGTAGAGTTGGCTGAAGGCTATAGCTCAAGTGGGATAGCCTATGACCTTAATTGTTTGTTTGCTTGGCCACAAAGGGTAACAAATCAATAATAGTTAATTTTTTTAATACAAACTCACATGACAGGATGTCTTCCGGATAAGATATTTATTGCAATATTATGATAAATAACACGACGTTAGCAGTCGCTCTGAGTGACAAAGACGGTTAGACACATCTAAAATGACCTATTCTCTATCTAAAACAGGACAAACAGTTAACTATATCCGTGTTTTTTAGACTGTAGGCTATAGGCCAATATACTAACACTCACTGTGAGAGAGACCATTGACTGAAAATGTAACTAACTACCGGACGTAGACAATGTTTATTGGTTTGATGTTACCATTGTACAAGGTCTTTTTTTAGGGTTTGCTCTGTAGAGTCAGAGCTACACCTGGTGATCGATAACAGGAACTGCACGTGCGCGTGAAGTCGACCTCATTCGCGCGTGTGAGTCCGTAAACAATAAACAATAAACAAGGATATAAATCCGTAGGTAGGAATAAAGATAAATGGCTTCAGCTGTTTTTGTCTTTAAAAACACCCTATAGGCCTACTCGGGTCATTATAACTGCGCAATACACGTTAATAAAACATTGACAATGGACGTCGTAAACACTTCATGTTGCAGATGTTGAAATTGACTGGCGTTGATTTGAACCAATAAGAATCGCTGTTCTTTTTACCCGGGCGATGCCTGACCAATGGCTGACAAGGATCGGCTGTAACCAGGTTAGATAGATCCAGATAGGACTATATATATACATGGAGGAATACATGATCTAGGAATGTGCTGCAGACCTCAGAAGCCATTTTGAGATGATGTCCCTGTTGAGAAAGCCTATGAAGATGCTGAAATCAACGAACATGGTTACATTTCTGTCTGTTTCTCCCTCCGTCTCCTCTATTTCACCATGGCAGCTGTCAACCGACGGGACATTAGCAAAGCGGGGTATCAAGCTGTGCTCACAGAGTTAAAACGTCATTGATATGAAAGAGGACAGTGTCTGTTTATTGTCTCTGTCGAGACATGAAACACCGTGAGTTTTTTCCAGTCTGAAAATCTTCCAGCATCTCTCACAACACACCGTCTCCTTGAGTGACTGAGTTAATTCACTCGTGTAGCCTGCCGGAGAGAAAGGAGGCAGATCCGTTTTCCAATGGCTTCTGTGAGCCTTGTTTCCAGTCCCCCAGTCCCTGTTCTTGACAAAAACATGACAGACTCTGAGCTTGCAGGGGATGAAAGGTCGAGTAACATTCTTATGCAATTCTTAATACGCTCATCTGTGCGTTTCAGTGCTGTGGGTCGACATGCTTGTGTTACTGTTTTCTTTTCTTTTTTTTAACCATGAATTGCAGGGTTTAGAGCCCACGGTTTCCCCCCTCAAAGATCTTTGCATGCCTCTTGGTGCAGTTGAATAACGCTGTCCAGATAACATTGATTTCCCATCACATTGTTAAGAGTCATTCACCATCATTTCCATGTAAGATAGCAGACCTCATCGTGTTTGTAGCTGTGGTGCTGGAATGAATTCATGGCTTCATTGTTGCCATCTGCAGGAGACTATGCAAATGACTATGATGTTAATGCCACGCCCATCATAGTGCTGTGCTCCCTCTAGCGGGCACCTGGCAGTACTGCTGAGGCAGGGTTCACAAAGGGTTGATGCCTGTGTCCTTGTGATTGGTCTCTAGTCCTCAGAGGGCTGTCTGACCATGTGAACAAAGAGAGCCTAGGGTTTGATGGTGTCAAGCTAAAGGTTTCACCAGAGGATTTTACTGTCTTATGAAGCTAAGCAACATGAACAGCTGATGTTGTGATACATGGTTGGAATACAAGCTGTCCAGGGCTGCCAGTCCCTGATTTACACATAACATGCATCACTCAGTGCATTTCAGTTTCCTCTTATATGGTTAGACATGGGGTCCCCCTCTCCTTGAGATATTGTACATTTATGTGGGAAAAATCAAGATCTTAAAAGTTGTTTTTTAAGTCAGTGAAAATACACGAATTGATTTATGTTGTGCAAAAATAGAATTTAAAGATATTTTAGGAAAGTCATTGAATATCTACTCATAGTATTTATATTATAAAACATATTCCTATGTCTTTTTATGACATTTCCCCCCCCCCATATACAACAATTGTTTCATATTGCATCTTGAGGTCTTTGCTATGGAATAAAAGTGAAGTTAGATACAGCAATGTGATGGCTTTGGATATGGTGGAAAGTTTGAATAATGATCTGCACTGGTGTGAGAGAAAGAGGTAGCTAGTGTCTGTGAAAACAGACGTGGATCAGTTGGTGGACATTTTTCCCATTTCAGGGTGTTTTGGTTTCATGCTTCTAGCTGCTTTGTATTTTCATATCAGCTGACATTACACGATATGAAAATAATAATAACACTGGAATGATTTATATGCAGCTGTTCCAGGCATATCTTTATATTTGAAACAGGTGTAATACAAAATTGCTTTTAACTGTCAAGCTGGAGTTATTACCAACTAAAAGTACCCGATCCATCCGTGTCTAAAGGACATTAAAAGCAGCATGTGTGAAGTTTGCACCTGGGTCACACACAGGGGTGATGGAGCAAAGTAAAAGAAAGCAAACCCAAAGTTCTTCCAAAATAATCACACTGATCATAAGATTAATAGACTATGGCTCTATTATATACTTACATTCTTGATTGGTATGCATTTATAGAGGTCATAGAGGAGTGCTCAGTCCTTCCAGCCTGATAGCTTATTTTAAAATTCCATCAAAATGTTTGGCATACTTTTACTCAAGAGTAATAATGGACCTTATTCATTCATCTTTATTTGTTTGCCCACACACAAAACATAACAAGTGTATCTTTGACTTCAGGCTGTCATTGTATAACAACTAAATAACCTTGCTTCTAGAAATCAAAAGGCTTTCGTGTATTTCTTTTAGCCGGAGGTTGAAATGAATTTGGCTTTCATGAAATAGCAACACACACTGGCTCACAGGAAATCAAAACTTAGCCTTGAATTATGGATGGGATGTTTTAGTACAGGAAAGATAGGGCGTAATGGAAAATCTCTAGCATAATATTTAGTTGTTCCAAATAAAGGGAAAATACATTATGGCTTGCTTAGTATTATTTCATATTCTTATTAAGTGATTACAGCAGGTGATTCTGGTTCTGCTCATGATGTTTTTTATTTATTTAGTAATGTCTGATAATAACAAAACACCGTCTATAAACCCTTACACTTATACCTTTCTCCTCATTTCAGAGAGGATGGCGAACTGGAAGACGGAGAAATAGATGATGAAGGAATTGGGATTGAAGAGGAAAATAAAGAGGTTGCTGAGGTTAATGAAGACAAAGAGAAGGAAAAAGAGAAAGAAAAAGTTAAAGAGAAAGAAGAGAAGACCCACAGGCACTCCAGGAAAAGATACAAAAAGACCAAAGAGAAGAGGAGGTCCAAAAGGAGGAGGCGTGACAGACAGAAAGTAAGACGCTTTAATAAATCTTATCGCAATAAAGGAATTAATTCAAACATCCCCTTAATGTGTTTTTCCTTTGTTCCCTCGCCCTTCTCCTCAGCACCACTCCCCTTCCAGCAGCTCCAGCTCCGATAGTTATGACTCAGACTACGACCGATCAGAAAGGCCCAAAAACCGGAAAACCCAGGGATCAGATGGCCAGTCCTCTCAGGTGAGTTCACCACCGCTGGCATGCTGATTCAAAATATTCATAAAGGTATAATTGCGTGACTTTATTCTCTTTAACTACTGACTTTCCAGCATGGACGGGATTCAAAGGGAGGCCATGGTAACTCCCAGAAGTCCCCGCCTCCAAAGAGCAGTGATTTCGACAAATACAGCGACTACAGTGATGACAAGTATGATTATGACGAAGAGGAGGATGATTACGAAGATGACATGTCGGAGTACCCGCAATCAAAGGATTCAGGTCCGCAGGGTCGGGGAAGGGGACGACAATCCAAAGACCAGATGAAGAGAGGAAGCATGAGGGGGATGAAACAACAGCAGTGTATGAACGAGACACTTTCAAATCAGATCATTTATGTAGTATCTAAATGTACTGTTTTTGTTGCTGTTGTGTTTGATGACTTCTTCTTTCATCGTTTTCAGTTGGGCAGAGAGGAAGGGGCCGAGGCAGTGGGCCGGGGAGAGGACGTGGGATGCTCTTCAAGAACAAGAAGCTGAAGGGCAAACCCTGGGGAGGACGTGGACGAGGACGAGGAGGAGACCAGGGCATGGAAGACATGGTCCCAGTGAGTCTGCCTTTAACATTCAGCTAGACCTATCTGTATTGTATATTATTAAGACAAATACAGCTCTGTAAACCCCTTAATAGTAACGTAACAATAAATTGCTGTATTTTTAGTTGCTTGGATGGTGATTTGTATATGAACAACGCTTTATTTTCACTTTTATCTGGTGTTTCATCTTCATAATAAAACCAAAGATATTCTATCAATTGAAATCAAACAATTCTGTAGTCATATTTGTTTGAATCAACTCAACAGACACACAGTGTAGCGGAGCTAAATAAGCTAAATGTGTGTCTGTTGAGATAATCATGATCAACACTAATACTATAGTTAATGTAAACTTAATTTCTCCAAATACAATTTATTTTAACAAATTAAATTTGATAAAGCTTAGAGAGTCTAGAAATGTTTGGGTTGGGAACCTTGAAAGTGCTTGAAGAATGCTTGGATTTTAATCTTACTTACTCCTCGCATCACAACTTTGCAGTGTTTTAACTTTTGACTGTGCTGTTCAGTTTTACACATAGTCTGGCATAAAGACAAAACTAAGGCTACATATTTGTATGTGTGTTACAGGAAGGAAAAAATTCCTCCGGTTTTCAGAAGAAACGGCCAATTATGAGCAAAGAGTTTATCAATCAGCACACAGTCGAGCACAACGGGAGAAACATCTGCAAGTATTTCCTGGAGGGTCGCTGCATCAAGGTATAGTACCACTAATGTTTTTGACTAGCTTTAACAATTAAAGCTAAAATATTTTTTATTTCATCAAATTAACCGCGGTGCAATTAAATAAAATAACTTTCCTACCTAAAATATACTTTTTCTTTCTTCATACAGGGTGAACAGTGCAAGTTCGAACATGAACTCGTTGTACCAGATAAGAAAAAGGAACTTTGTAAATTTTACCTTCAAGGATACTGCAGTAAAGGAGATAATTGCATTTACATGCACAATATCCTTCACAAAAGTGTGTAATGTGGTGCATTATTCAAATAAATGTCATTACACGTTTCAATTAGTCCTGTTCCTTAACCTGTGATTGCACATGAATACCCCTGCAAGTTCTTTCATACTGGAGCCAAATGTTATCAAGGGGACAACTGCAAATTCTCCCACGATGCTTTGAACGATGTGACCAAAGACTTGCTTGACAAGGTAGGTCAAAAAAAAAAATGCCAACCATTTTTTGCCAACTTATTCTTATTGTCAAATATTGTCTTATTTGTGCTTTATCAGATAATCAACACTGAGGAGGAGAACGCCCGCGAGGACGAGCTGGAGCTGGAGGATCTGAGAAAGCAGGGTATTGCTCCACTTCCGAAGCCCCCCCCTGGGGTGGGGCTGCTGCCCACTCCTGGTCAGAGCAGTCCCTCAGACGGAGCCTCGGGACAGGCGGGGAAGAAGATCCCCTCCCTCTTTGAAATCAATGTTCAACCTACTGTAGACTTGGCACAGAAAATTGGTCTAAGGTAACTTACTGTAAATCCTCTATATTTTATGAATTTGCTAATTTTTATATCCAACCCTAAACCAATATCTACCTTTTTTCATATTAATGGAACATGTACAGTGGCCTAAGCTGTATTACGAAAAATAATAATGACAAATTAAGCTGTACGTTTTTTTAGATACAGGAATTATTACTCAATTAACAAATACTACTCAGGATACCAATCTAGTTCATTGTCATTTTAAAAAACAAGCTCAATATTGTATCGCCATGTCATTTGCATCTACTGATCAAACTCTTAAGAGCTTATTCTGTACTTAATTGCGCTAATTGTTTTTCAGTGGATCCAACTTTTCCCAGAATCAAGGTGAAGGCAGCGATCAGTTCAGTGGCGGCTCAGAGGACGCGCAGACTGCAGGCATGGTGCCTTCAGGGCCCTCCACTCCTCCTATTCCTCCTCCTGAATCTCCTGTCGCTATGGGTCATCTCACTGGACCACCCATGCCACAGAGCCCCCCTGGACTGCACCCACCCCACGGCTTTCCAATGCCGCCTCCGATCCCCCCTGGTCAACCCCCACCCTTTTATGTAAACAGACCTCCAATGAACATGCAGAGGCCTCCTCCGTTCCCTCCAGATCTACAGATGCTGCAGAATCTCTTCCCGTTTCCACCTATGGGTCAGAACCCAGTAGATTTCTTCAGCAACTTCCTCGGAAACCAGGCTCCACAGGGAGGTCAGTGTTTCAATTGGCCCTCAAATAGATTCATTATGTTTAATCATAACTAAACAATGCTAATTTGGGTTTCTCTTTTTCGTTTAATGCAGTTGACCCTGGTCTGGCCTTCATGCAGAACCTCCAGCAGAACATGGGTGCAGAGTCACAGTTGAATTCTTTGCCACCAGCAGTACAGAAGGCCATCCTTTTACACCTGACACAACAACAGTCTCTTCCACAGGGAAATGAGCCACAGAGAGCGGAGGGCCCAGATGATGACAATGCAAACAGAGGTAAGGGGCCAGAAGCAGGTTTGCCGAGTAAATTAGGGTCAAATAAAACTAAATTAGAACCCTTTCTGAAATTGAGTGAAAACTGAGTCCAAAACATGCGCTCATTTAAATAGAAATGTAAAAACAAAACAAATACAAGATGTTGTTTTTTTCTTGACAGATGAAACTACAAACTGGTACTCAAGCGATGAAGAGGATGGGAGCTGTGTTTCCTCCATTCTCAAATGTCTCAAAAAGCAGAATGAGAAGCAGCAGTCTCAGTCGAAGCCCCCCCAGGCTGCCCCAGTGGGTGACCCTCGGCTTGTTAAAGAGAGGGCCCCACCCAGTGACCCCCGTGTGAAGACAGACCCCCGACAGCGACCCCCGGATACGAAAAAGGAGTCGGACGGAGCTGCAGACCCCCGGTTTTCCAGAGACCCCAGGAAGATTCGACCGATGGAGCCGAGTTCCTTTCGGCAGCAGGGCCACCCCGGTTCTAAGAAGCCCCCTGCAGGGGATGAGGATGATGAAGGAGAGCGGGAGCCCAGGGACAAAGCTGTCCTCATCCCTCTAGATGCCGGCCCCGAGGTGCTGCTGCGGGACCCTCGCTGCCAGTTAAAGCAGTTCAGCCACATCCGAGTGGACATCCTGCTCCAGAGGCCTTCCTTCGCTCAGACCGTAGTATGGGCCCCTGAGGACCTCATCCCTTCTCTGGTACCCAAACAGGAACACTCAATCAACCTGCCCCTCCCACCCCTCATTGCAGATGCTCAGATGAACCGAACAAGCTTGTCTGACACTCCCCCCGTCTCCAGCCCTCCAGCCATTGACCCCAGACTGGTAGCAGCACGTTTAAAAGAGCGTATGAGTCGATTACCCTCCGGATCTCTAGAGTCCCGACCCCCCCCAGAAAGACCCATAGATCCACGTCAGCAGAAGACTCTGGATCCCAGACTCAAGCGTACAGTTAGCCTGGACTCGAAGCTGATGGGTCAGAAGGTGCCCTCCTCTGGGGGGGGAGTTGTGGACCCCAGGCTACAGAAGGCCAGTGTTAGCTCCACTCCTCATACTGTCCAAGCAAAGCCAGAGCCTGAGAAGCTGCCACCTTATGCCCCACATCTGGCTTCCTCTGGTGGGGGGCTAGAGAGTCCCACTACTATCCTCGGGGGCATCAGTCTGTACGATCCTCGTAATCAAAGCGAGACAGCCCAGAAGGAGCCGACAGAGCCTCCCAAAAAGACGTCCATCCTGAAACTCCCAGCCAAGAAAGACGTTTCTCCGCCACTCTCCCCAACTCAAAGAAGTGGCTCTTTGGAAGAGACAAAAAGTACAGACGCAGCCTCAGATCAGCCTCCACCTCCCAGTCCTGCCGCAGTGCCTCCTGCCTCACCGGTCAAACCCCCTGCGGTTCATAACCTCCCCATCCAGGCCCTGGCCGGGCTCATCCGGCCCTCGTACACTGACCCTAGGCCGGCCAAACCTGGAGGACAAGGCTCAGCAGGAGCACAAGAAGAAGCGGAGGAAAAGAAGGAGCAGGGGGAGGTCAAGGAGGAGGAACCAAAGCAGGAGGGCCCAGAGGAGGAGGCAGATGACAGGACACTCAAAGATGTGTTCAAGACTTTTGATCCCACTGCTTCCCCTTTCTGTCAGTAAACACCCCGGGGTGGAAATATGTAAAAGCAGCAGAAGATTTGTATTTTGATGAAAATATCTATTAATCGTTTTGGAAACACATGAATCTATTTATTTCTGTATATAAATGATCCTGTATAAAACACATACTATCTAGTGCGCCACACATCAGTGTGGAGATGATGCTATCTAATGTGCACAGACACAGTTCAACATAATCTTATTAATGCAGAAATGTGTGTTTTGAAAGTGTGTATGTTACGGTTTTTTATCATTGTGTTTTTTCCATGTAAGTTTTAAACAGTTTTTAAAAAGTGTGTCCATTTTTCACTAAGGATTGACGCATATCTTTCCAGGCATTACACATTGTAGATAAGATCATGAACTCACTCTACAGGCAAACGGTTATACTAACTAATCCATCAAACAATAATTCTAGGAATTCCCTTGTGAGCGTTTGTATTTCCTTATTTATTTGAAGGCTCTTTTATAAAATTATACCTTACTTTTATGATAAGGGATTTATTCACCACAAGTTAACAGATCTAGTTTTTTATTATTTACTTTGTTTTCATATAAAGTGGCCTAAATGCTTTGAGGATGTCAAGTTACTGATGTAGGCTTGTCTAATTTGCTTAACTGAGAGTTGTTGAGTAAATAATATTGTTTACTTCATTTGTCATTAGTCAAAAACATGCACTGCTCACAAACTTGTATGGTAAATAGCAAACTGTCTTTCACTTGTTTTTATCAGAACAAAAAAGAAATTCTAAAAAAAAATATTGGACCCATTTCATTGATAGATCGATAAATATGACCTTTATAACTATATTTCATAGTTGAATTTTGTTGGAGTTGACACGATAAACTCACGTGGGGTTATCTGTCGTACAAAGGGTGAATGTTGAGGCTGAAGGCGGCATAATGCTCTGCAGTTTATATTATTTTACATTTCTGTGTCTGTTAAGGTGAGCCTTGTATGACTGAAACTAAACTATGTCCTTTTTTCTAATTATCATTTTCATACTTCACATTGTAAATCCCTTTTTGTATCACATGTACAGTCTTTTTTTGAGCGTTTTAATGAATAATGCTTCATTTTCCGTTTTGTGGTGATGGTTGTGATAATACTGTAAGACATTTTAACAACACATGCCTGTCACATTTTAGTGATTTTATTATGATAACTGAAATAAACAGATAAGACATAAGGTATTTTATTTCAGAATCACAAATTTAATTCTCTCAAAATGCAAAATATTTTATGTCATTCACCTTGTTGAAGTGTCCGTGGGCATGAGTCAGTGAAAAGCTCCCTCTAAGGGTTGAGTTGGTTTCATATAATTATTTAAAATAGAAAACAACAATGGGATCCTTTTTAGGCTTCGCAGGTATACCATGATTCATAAATTGATTTTGAACTGCAAAGATGATGTAGAAAAGTATTTTGCTTCCCAAATGCATAGGTTGATGAAATTAGGATCACATTATTGCAGGGGATAATTTTAAATACAAAGATAGGGACACCACATATAAAGAATACATGTATAGCTGTCACCGGTGTTAACTTGTGGAATGGTTGGGTCAAGAATTTAAGAATATAAAATAAACAAAAAGTTTAAAGATCAGGTGGCAAACATAAAAAAACAAGATATATTTATTTAGTTTGAAACTTTGGGAAATTGTTTTGTTTTTGTAAACCTAGAAGTGAACGGGATGCCTATTATGATATCTACAAAGGTTAGGTATAATAAGCTTAAGCTTGAGACTAAAATAACTGTTTATCGCAAGCCATTTGAGTATCCTTGATATCAGACGGCAGCTGCCTACACTAGTTGGCTCTTTGATGTCACTTGTTAGATATATGGTCACACTAGTTAACTAGTAGTACCCAGAATCACTCACTAGTTAACTAAAGGCAAAATGTTCACTAGTTGACACCTCTTTTGACCTTACTAGTTAACTAGTGGGGCTCAAAATGTCTACACGTTAACTAGTGAACCCTTTGCCCTTTACTAGTTAACTAGTGAGGCTTAAAGGTCCCATTATGGCAAGCCATTTGAGTATTTATTCCATATCCTTGATATCAGACGGCAGCTGCCTACACTAGTTGGCTCTTTGATTGCACTTGTTAGATATATGGTCAAAC